GTGTGCCCCTGTAGGCAGTGGAGAAAAAGATGGGAAACAGGGTGGAAATGGCCTGGTTGGTGGGATATGAACAAATCCAACATTCTTAGTTGGGTCATGTAGGAGGATGGGGACTTGCAGAGAGACAGAAACAACAGAAGGAAGAGTACTTATACAGAGATCAGGGACTCTGGGCATGAAGAATGCACTGAGCAAAGTCGTTTGCAGAAGTGATCTGGTCAGAGGAGGATATGTGATCAAAAGGAACTTAAGTCTAATCCTGTATATTTCCCATGGCCTGCTCAGCTTGGGCTGGTTCACCCTGGTAACACCCAGGAGAGGTTTCACCCTCCCATCAATTGCTCTTTAAATCTGCACAGTTCAGGGAGTTCCCTTTACCATCCTGTTTCCAGGGGACCAGAGCAAATTGGCTGGTCAAGATTACGGCCTCTGGGAGATGACAGAGAGGTGGGGTAAAAGGGGCTGTGGGGTGCAAACTAGCTTGTACTCATGGAACTTAGAGGTGGCAGAGTGAAGGCTAGATCCACATGACGTTAGCGTGGAGTTGAGGACCTCAGTTCTTGTCTTCTTGGAGGAAAGAATTCAATCAAGAGATAGCAATGCAGTGAAACAACAAAGCTTTATGGCAAGGTCACATGTGATGGTAACCAACAGACCTCTAGACCTTTCCCTTTCTTCTCATGTCTGACTACCTACCTACCCTAACAATTTACTCTAGCTGACATGCTTAAAAGAATGCCTGACACTTAAGAAACACTACATAAATGGGACTTGCTATTATATTAACACTTTTCTTTAAAGAGAGAGATTTTTATGCTGTAAGATGTGTACGTTTGTTGGAGAGAGAGACAGAAAGCAAGAAATCACCCCACAGGGGGGACAACCACGCCACAATCCCTTCTCCATTCCCCTCAGGATCTTGGGCATGCACACACACACGCATGAGTTTTAAGCCACTGGGTCTGGGACTTGAACTGCGGTTGACTACATGGAAGTCCAGAGATGTAACCATTATGCCACCTGCTGGTCTCTATATTCACACTTTTTTTTTTTTTAAGAATTATTTTATTGGGACCAGCAGTTAGCGTAATGGCTATGTCTGTCTCTCTGTCTCTGTCTTTCTGGCGAGTACACGTGCCCTATAGCAAAAAACCTCTCCAAAAAAAGAAAGAAAAAAGAGAATTATTTTATTTAACTTTATTTATTCATTTGTTTTATTTTAATTTGACTAGAGAGAGAAAGGGGATAGGGGGAAGTGAGAAAGCAAGCTGCCAGGTCCGGGACTCAAACTGAGTACGTCATGTGGGAGTTCAGTGCCCTTAACCACCATGCCATCTGCTGGCTCCCTATATTCATACTTTTTAAAGGCCTGAGGCTTTTTATTGGAGAGGTTTTTGCTATAGGGTGCGTGCCCTTGCCAGAAAGACAGAGAGACAGAGACAGAAAGCAAGATATCACCCCCTAGGGGGGAGGCCACGCCACAATCCCTTCTCCTCCATTCTCCTCTCGGGATCTTGGGCATGCACGCACATGTGTGTGATAAAAGCCTGATGCTTTTAAAAACACGTTTAATGAACTATTTTTTTTTCCCAGAGATATTTTTTGCCTTAGGGTACATGCACTCTCTGAGATAGAGAGACATACACACAGACAGTGAGAGGGAAAGCGAGAAATCACCCCCCCAGGGGGATGGCCACACCACAATCCTTTCTCCTTCATTCTCCTCTCGGGATCTTGGGCATGCACGCACACATGCCCAGCGTGAGTTTTAAGCCACCGGGTCTGGGACTCAAATCACAGTTGGCTGTGTGGGAGTCAGCAATGTAACCGCTATGCCATCTGCTAGCCCCGAACTGTCTAGTTTTAATTAGTGCTATGCCTAATGTTAAATTGTCTGGTTTTTTTTTTTTTTTTGTACCCATCATTCTTTGAATATATAACTTTGGCAACATTTACAATACCTCCTTTGCACTTATTTATTTAGCTGTTCCATAACCCAAGGGTAGGAAACAGGTCTTATTCACTGTTGAAATCTCTGGCACATTGCACAATGCCTGCAAAATGGTGGGTGCAATCAGGTGTTTGAGTCTATTTCTGTTTTTAAAAGCATTATTTCATTTTATTCCTGACCAGATAGAGACATCCAGAGAGAGGAAAAGTGAGAAAGCAAGCCACCAGGTCCAGAACTCAAACTGTGGTTGGCCATGTGGGAGAGTCTAGCACCTTAGCCACCATGCCACCCACTGATCCCCAGGTGTTTAATTCTATTAACTACTTTAACACTAAATGAAATTATTCAATGATTCAAAAATAAGTATTTTGGGAGCCAAATGGTGGTACAGTGGTAAAATGAAATGCTCTGTAAGGCTGACACACATGGGAAGGTTCTGGACTTGTGTTTGCAGACCTCCGTGAGTTCGTAGGCACATGTATGCCCATGATCCAGAGCTGGCTAAAGCTGGAGGTGGATTATGACATTGAGACCCTGCGGGGGTCCTGTCTCTACTCTTTCTCACTTACGAAAAAAGAAAAAAAAAAAAACAACAAGATATTCAGAAGCTTGAATATCTGGATTTTTTTTTAAGTCTAGAATGTTTAAATTATCTATAATATTTGCCAATAAAGTATATATGGTTCCTTTATAAAAAGAATTATTTATTTATTATGATTATTATTTTTAATTTGCTATAGGGCATGTGTACTCACCAGAGAGAAAGAGACAGAGAGTGAGAGGGAGAGAGAGAAAGGGAGAGAGAGAAATTAAGAAAGCAAGCCACCAGGTCCAGGACTCAAACTGTCATTGGTTCTGTAAGAGTCCAGCACTTTAACCACCATACACCATCTGCTGGCCCCAGCATATATAGTTCCAAAGGTTAAAAAAAAAAAATATCGAGGCCAGTGGGTGGCATGGGGATCGAGGTGCTGGACTCCCCAAATGGCCAAC